TACTGGTTTCCTCTACTTTTCTGAGCATATTAAAATAACTAATTAAAATATCTGCATTTGCTTATGGATAATTTCTGTTGCTTGCTCCTTTCAACTGCTTGTGCATGAATAGTATTGTTGTTGTAGCTTCATTACATGCAAACCTCATAATTGGCTATTTTTTATAACTTGATATTTTTAACCATAATATCATCGGTAAAATCAGAGTATTCTATCCAAGATTTATTGTTATTGTTGCTCTTTATTATTGTTCTTTAATATTTAATAATTGATTGGGAAGAACTCCTGTTAAGTCTGTATTCTTTCTTATGTGTGCCTAGTGAATCCTTGACTGGTTTGCTTAGGCTTTTCTTAAGGGCTTTGGAGGCAGTTTTACCAGTTTTCTCTCCCCAGCAATTTCTTACTTCTTATTAAACCTTGGAAAGGGAATTTTATAATTCTCTGAGCTTCCTAAGCCTTATGAATTTCATTGGTCTTCTCTTTCCTCTAGGAGGGAATGTTTGAACTTACAGGAAATACCTATACAAAATGAGGATCTTTCACTAAACAATCATTATTCAAACTATGGTTATGGACTGGGAGTAGAGTTCATTGGTATATCATATACTTAGCATGCTCAAAGCTCTGGTTTCAACCCCTAGCACCAAAATAAGTAAGTAAAAATAAAAGTAACTCAGAACTTTGGAATTCAGTTTCTAATTTCTAGCTATTTTATATCTTTTAATATCCTTATTTGCCTGAATTAATTTTGATACTATTTTTAAAACAAAATCTAATTAGAGACTCAGCAGAATAAGAGACAAAAAGTATATTAATTAAAAGTTCAAAGATAATCTAGGAATTTCACTAAAGGATGTGTCTATGTGTCTTTGTACATGTGTGGATGAAAATATCTTCCAATCAGGGGCTGGTGAGATGGCTCAGTGGTTAAGAGTACTTCTTGCTTTTCCACAGGATCCAAGTTTGGTTCCTAGCAACCATATCAGGTGGCTTATAACTATCTGTAACTCCAGTCCCAGTGGGTCTGACACCTTCTTCTGGCTTCCACAGAAACCCATACATACATTTGTACAGATATATACATATAAAAATAAAATCTTAAAATTTTCATTACATTTATTTATTTATTTATTCTGCATGTTTGTGTGTGTGTGGAGGTCAGAACATGACTTTCAGGAGTCGAGTCACTCCTATCATGATGGTTCCTGGGATCAAACTAAAGTTGTCATGTTGAGAGGCAAGTGCCTTTACCTGCTGAGCTATCTCACTGGCCCCACAACAAAAAAATCTTAATATAAATTCATTTAGCTTTCATTTAGTAGAAACCTTTTACTCATCTCATAAGCAATTTTACATCGTTATACATAAGAAGGAAGAAATTCTAAACCATTTAGGAGTGCTATGTCTCAGAATCTTCTAAAAACTTAAAGGAAAATGAACACAAACATAAAAATCTGTTTTTATTTTAAAGGGACTATTGGATTTGTGCAATATGAAAAACGCTATTAAACAAAACATTAGAATATTGATGGCAAAAAATAAAGAATAAATATTCAAATTATAATATGTACTCTTCAGTAAGGCAATACAAATTTAAAATTTATTGAATCACATAGTGATCTTGATTAATATTTTATTTCAAAATTAAACTCGTATGTTACTTATATAGAATTTGCTACATATTTTTCTAATAAAATCAAATTATAAAAATGTTCCCAGGTGATCCTCATTAGACATATGTACTCATATTTGTTATTATTTGCTTTCTTGAGACATGGTTTTATGTAGCAGTTTGGCCTCAAACTTACTAAGTAGCCAAGGATGACCTTCAACTCCTGATCTTCCAACCTCCACCCAATTTTTAGATTATAGTCCTCTTCAACCACATCTAGTTCATAATATATTTTGAAAACAGATACGGTAGCAGGAAGAAAATGGGCAGTGACAACAGTCAAATAAACCACAAGCCAAAGGGAGGAGAGCTATGAGTAAGGCAAGAATAAGTGATAGGATGGAGTTTTAAATTATTTTGGTGCTTAAGAAATTGTCTTAAATAGCTAGAAGTCAAAGCTATTTCTAGATAGTCTTACTTGAACTTATGGGCTCTACTTTATTGTGCTAACACTTCACTTCAAAAATTGTTTCTTCTTAATACTGTATATCTTATATGCTTTACTGTGGAACAGGTTATTTTTGTACCCTAATAATTTATAAATGGAATAGAAGAGAAGGAATCAGACTTTTTTTCTTATAGTAACTAGAAAAGGGGTAAAAAGAAGTTGGGCAGAAAGGTCATGAAGGGGTCAATATTCAGAGATTTTATATAATAATTTACTATTTATTACATCTATTATACATCTTATAAAATGTGGCTAAGTCAGAAGGATGTAAGCTAGTGTGAATAAGAGCAATAGAGGGTATGGGATTTCCATTACAAAAAAGTGAGATGATATATATGTGAAATTTGATTCTGTTTCTTGCTTAACTTACAGTAAGTCACTGTGCTGAAAAAGACAGGAAAAACTAAAGGGTAATACCATGAATATGCAAATAGCATAGTTTCACTGGAATACCATTGAATTCTGACCCAAACCAGACAACATCATGAGTAATATGAAGAATTCAAATGGGTATCATTTAAAGTCTGTAGGTGTATAACATTGATATAAAAATAGTACCAGATTTCAACTGGTTCAAAGAGACATAAAGGATCAACTGAATTCCTTGGTCTTGCTTTCAGGACAGAACTTGACATTTTTTTATCACCAAAGCAATGAAGGTGTGACCTACAACTTCACTGATAAGTTCATATATGTGTCATATTAAGTAGAGACAGAACTTCAAACCAAGGATATAAATAAATTATATGTACTATCCACCTTTCTTTTTTAAAGTTTGGTGTCTGACCCTCTGACTAAGTGGGGTTTTTGTTTGGTTGTTTGGCTTGTTTTTTGAGACAGGGTCTCACTATGTAGTCTTGGCTGGCCTGGAACTCGTTATGTAGACCAGGATATCCTTGAAATTCCAGGGATCCACCTGTCTCTGCCTCTGCCTCCTAAATTCTAGAATTAAATCACCATGCCCTGCTCTAAGTGGTAATAGAGATTCACTCTCATATTCTGGGTCTAGAGTTCCAGAGATCTGACTAAAAAAATCTGTCAATAATCCACTATAGACAAATGAGGAAGGAGTTGTCTTCTTTAAAAATGTCTTTAGTCTGGAAAGACACAGAATTAGGTATAATGATAAGACAAATCAAATCTTTGATATTAAAATTTGGGGCTAAGAAATAAACTACAAGTGTTCATTTTAATTATCTGTAATATTATATAAGAGGATCTCACTACTGTTACTGTAATTTAATATAGGTGATTGCATAATTGATTTAATATTTCTAATTTTAAATTAGAACCTTATTAAATTTACAAACAATATCAGAACATTTTTTTAAAGTTTCAAAACATCTACTAGTTTAATAATCAGGTTTGTACAAAATTATTTCAGCGCTTAGGAAGGTCAAAGCGAATTAAAAGTTAAGAGAAACAGTACTTGCCTAGCTTACCTGAAGCCCTGGGATTTGAATCCCAACACTACAAAGCAAACAACACAACCAAACATAAAACAAAATAGTTCAAAGGAAAAAAATTAACTGTAAAGTCCACTGAAAGGTAAATTTTACATTTTGCTAAGCATATAAAATAACCTATATTTAAAAGTAGTTAATGGCCAATTCTGACAATGAAATCAAGAACGATAAAACATCTAAATTTTACTGTAAGATTTTTTTTCCCCAGCAGTGTGGTCATGTTTATTTAATCTAAAGGTATGCATACCCTTTAACCTGGAAACAAATCAGTAAGAGATTCTTTCTTAGTAGTAACTTAAAGAAAACAGTTTGTCAAAAGATTTATTTATTTTTATTTTACTTGTATGGAGGTTTTGCCTGCTTGCATGTCTGTGTACCAAGTGCATGGCTGGTATTGACAGGGACCAGAAGAGGGCAGCAGTTCCCCTGGGACTGGAGTTACAGATGGTTTGTGAGCCCTCATGCTGAGAATCAAACTTGGGTCCTCTGGAAGAGGATGAAGTAGTAATTTTTAGGAATCTTCTAAAACATTATATTGATAATAATAATTTTAAGAGTCACAAAATATTTAAAAGTAATCAACCTGAATAAAAATCTATAGGAATAGATTAAGTTAGAGCTCACAGTGTGTGAGATTCTACTTTCCAAAACAAAATAATTGGATAAAACACAAATGGGATACTTCACCTTGAATTTTCTAATCTAAGCTCTCAATTGCACTGCTTTAAGATTAAAAAGCAAAAGACTAAAGAAAGCTGTGGAAGTCTAAAGTTAGTAGATAGGCTAATTAGGAAAGTCAATATAATAATCAGCTTTGTTACCTTTAGTGTGAATCATGGCACAAATTTAAAAAATAAGTAACTTTAAATGCACACATATATAACAATATCTTAAACTATAATTCTATGTCCTACAAATTCTAATACTACTGACCTTTCAACTTTCACAAATACTATGTGATTAAGCCAAATGTGAACCAAGTTATCAATCTTCTAGTTATACTAGATAGTAATCCTAAAGGCAGTAAATTATATTTAGAAGGACCTGTTCTAAATCTGTTCTAAATCTTCAATTATCATTCTTGCAATTACTTCCATTCCTATCTTGCATCTCATACAACAGGACTCAAATTAAACCCTAAAAAAATATATGTCCATGTTTAATTCCCTTTCCAGCAAAAAAAAAAAAAAAAAAAAAAAAAAAGACAAGCTCATAAAGCTCCTAGATGACTCTAACCCTTCCATATTTCAAATGCTATCTTTTAGATTTCTGAGTAACTGTTTCAAATGGAGTTCAGACTGTCTCCACCCACTTCCCCACTATATCACACCCTCTGCTTCCCCACCCCCCAGATGAGGATAGGTTGATAAATGGATTTTGGAGATGGAATAAAGCCAGACATCAAATAACTTACTTGAAATCCATCTCTTACCTTCTGTACTTAACCCTGGACTTGATGTGAACTTGGCTACATCAACAATTTTTACAGCAAATTGTTGCCCAGTTTCTCTGTTGATACATCGTCGTACAACACTAAAGGGACCCCTAGAAAACAAAAAGTCAATTTTAGTTCACTGATTTTACATTCCTCTTTTTGATCAATATCTTACTGTGTTTCCTTATTTACCACAGCCAAACTATATAGCAAATGACCTATCATATTTTAATCTTCATATAGAACTTCACAATAAAATTTAACTAATGTAATTTTGAATATTATCTAATTCAAAGGTAACTCATCATTTTAAGAGTTAAAATAAAAAGAATGGAAGCCAAATAATTAGGTTTTTAATTCAAGATAATTTAAAAAATTCTAAATAGTATCCTTATTCAAGGCAAACAGTAACTAGTAATTCCATATAATTATGAACAGCTTACACATAGGGAAGTTTGTAGATGTGGTAGTATACAGAGACATACTCCTTTTGTTTAATTTGAGATTGTACTTTAATTACATCTCTCCCTTCCCTTTCCTCCCTCCAAATCCTTCCATACACCCCTCCCCACTCTCCTTCAAATTCATGACCTCTTTTTCATCAATTGTTATTGCATGCATATAAGACATACTCTTTTGGAAGCAGAAAGTTAAATCATTGCTAATACTTCCCAGAAACCTAATCTTTACTACCATATCCTACTGAGTATCTTTCTATCACTTCTGAACATGTCATGTCATAAAGTTTTCAAGCTACCATTTTTTTTTGCTGTGACTACTGAAAACGTTTCTCATTCATTCTTGTAGTGTTTTAGAAAAGAAAATCTGATATGTTCTTACTTATAATCCCAGAGAAAAAGTTTTACACACACACACACACACACACACACACACACACACACACCCCTAATCATGAACCAAAATACAAAACATATAATTAATTACTACAGAAAATAAGGAAAAAAGAATATTCAACAAAATCTAGACAGCAGTATTGAGCAGGAAGTTCACAAAGAAAAAGCCCTGCATGATTCGGTTTCCATCAACCTCTCTAGTCTGACCAAAACTCTCAGAGAAATCCTCCATTATCCTAAAACTTCAAATCAGAATTGTTTTAAAGAGCCATAAGAAATGAACTGCCTTAGCAGTAAAAGTCACTGTACTAGTCTAGTGACTTGCTTACCTACTGCTCCCTTCAATCTTCATCAGTGACTCAATACTTGCCACACAGTTGGATATGCAGAATGAAATAAAATGTCAATACCTGGGTCCAGGAAATGCACGCACGCGCACACACACACACACACACACACACACACACACAGCCAGACACAGACAGACAGACACACACACAGCCAGACACAGACAGACAGACACACACACACACACACACACACACACACACACACACACACACAAGTTCTTTGAGATGAAGTTATCAAATAAATGTCAGAATTCAAGATAACCTAAGGACAGATTTGTCGTGTAGAATTGGCACTTCAACTATGACAGAACCATTAAATTCAGAAGCATATGTGCATATATACATTTTTTCACTTTCTAATGGTGGAAGAGAGACAGAAGAACACTTTTATTGGCTTTTATAAAATACTTTTATCTGTGCTCAAGGTACATAAGAAAATCATTTATATAGTGCTCCTTTGACTTGTAATACTGTTTCTCTTTCCTTTTTCACTTGGAGAACAAGCAAATGAATTTAATCTAACCTAAACATAATTTTTCTCACATCAATGCCATCATTGTGGCCATCAGTTACATCCAACTTCAATTTTTCCACAAGCAGCAAAGCTAACATGGAAGGGAAAGAGGGGCTAATGTTAACTTTCAGATCAAAACTCTACAGAGAGAAAACCTTCTGCATAATCACTTAAAATATCAACAAATATTCCTCTGTGACAGTACACCAAAGTGTTTCCATTTTTAACCTGGATGTCTACTTGTGATTATTCAGTCTGACAATAGCATACAATTTCAGGAAATATTGAACATAATCAGGTTTGGGCCACACAAAACCCCTCAGGGGTATATATACATTTGTGTAGTGTGAATCAATTTTCCAACTTCTGTTTGTAGAATTCTTTGTGGTCAATCCAGTCAATTTTTAAAACACTTTTCCTGCTTGAATGAAGGTAAGGAAGAAAGCATAAGCTTCTCCTGCCATACTTTTATAAAACTAAGATAGGTAAGGAGAAAGGAGAGAAAAGGCAATGAGACAACAAACCACCTTTTAAAATTAGGAACACACGTATACACACAAAACAACAACAACAATTAAAGAAAAAAGAGACCAGGAATTTGAAAGAGAGCAGCAGGGTAGTGCATAATAGAGGACTTGGAGGGAAGAAAGGGAAGGGAAAAACCATGTAATTATAATCATCTCAAAATATTTTTTAAAATCTCAATAAAAATCAAATTAAATCTACTAATCCATTAAGCTAATTTAATGAGGTTGAAAAAGGAGTGCATTTATGAATTCTTCAAGACCTGAGCACAAGTCATAAGTAAAGCATGTTAAAGGGAGTTTTCCTTAATAACATGCAGGAAGCTAACAAAGGTGAGCTGAGCCAAATTTAATAACCTTAAAAGACATCAAAACCATACTCTAAGATTGCTTGTGATTTCCTTCACAACTTGAAACTCAGCAGATACTAATAAAAGATATAATTTGAGTTGGTCTTTTACGAAAATGCAAAGGGTAGTAAACAGTGTTAACATATAGCCACATTAGATTTATTAGTTATATTTGGTTGATAGTTTAGGGAACAATAAAAATTCAGGAAGAACAGATTTCAGTTTGGCTTGTACTCTTTCTTGACACATAACATTTTTACCTTAATTTTTAAAAATGTACTGCATAGTCAATTCTTTAGTATTGATGCAGAACAAAATAAGACATTATCTTTTTCTACTATGGTATTGACCAAAATAGAATGCTAACTGACACTATTTCAGATTTGATTAAACATTGCTGGGGGAGAGAATTTGTTTATTTACTTATTTTGGATGATGTGTCCACTGGTGGGTTCCCCATGCTCCTCCAGTGACAGCCTTGTAGCCATGCACATATGGGTAGCACTACTGAACTTAACGAGTCATTAAATAAAAATGGCATGAAGTTGGGAAGGGCTGTGTTGGAGATATTGAGGGGACTAGAGAGGGAGGTTAGGCGTAAACAGAATCATATTTCATTCTGTACATGTATGAGATTCTCAAAAATAAAGAAAAACATAACAAAACAAGTATCTGCACACACACACACACACACACACACACACACACACACACACACACTTTCCATTCAACTCCTTACAAATACCAAATATTGACTGGAATTGTAACACAGAGTTCTTATTGAGGCAGATAGATATTTACATAGTTCTATGGGTTTTAAATTTTTTAATTAAATTTACTATTTGACAATTTAATACATGTACATAATGCATACTAACCACTCTTAATCTCAACCTCTCCCATCTCACTGCTACTTCTATATACATACACCCCCTCTTTCCTACAACTTTCTCACATTCATGTCTATTTGTTGTTCTTTGTGACCCACTTGGAGCTATCTGTTGAAGCCTAGTGGGGTCAGCAGTGGATATATAATTAGAGACAATTACTCCCATTCCCCAAAATTGTCAATAGCCAATAGTGTAACAGTAAGATGTATGAGTCCCTTCCCTTTCCATGACTATTAACATGGCCTGTCTTATGTGGGCCAGTGAGGGTAACTGCAGTTGAGTTCATGATTGTGACAGTTGTATTGAGTCCAGAAGATGGCATCTCACAGGCTTTCACTTTATCTTCTGGCTTTTTCATACTTCCTACACCCTCTTCTACAGTGTTCTCTTAGCCTTAGAGGGAGGAGTGTAAATATCTTGTTTAAGACTGAGTCCTCAACCATCACCTATTCTCAAAATATCAGGGATCTATGAGTTTAGTCTCTACATCCACTGCTGTTCTTTGTAAAGAGAGGTTTTTCTCACTAAGGTTGATAGTATCCTTTGTCAATGGGTATTAACATACATATTTAGAAGGCCATCAATTTAGTTACCCCAGTTGGGCCTACAACCTCCTGGGGCATAGGTTGTTAAGTGGGCTTACTGTACTAGTTGTGGGTTCCCTTCTCAGGAACACGCCTCAAATCTGATCACATGGCAGTTGGTTATCCCTACAACAATTGTGCCACGATTGTACAGGTAGGCAAGTTTTTTTCCTGTTTGTAGGGTACACAGATGGGTAAGACCAATGATACCTTTTCTCTACCAGAAGTCTGCAGAGTAGCACCTTGAGAGTAGCCAGCAGGGAGCAAATTTCCAGCTCACTTTCACCTTGCTTTCTCTCTATCTTGCCACCAGGGTATGCAGTGTCTTTAGAAAAAAGGTTGTACCCCCTAATGGTGGGTAACGAAAAGTACTGACAGAACCTGTGTTGTGTTGGGGACCTTTGAGGCTTCCTTGAGGTATCCCATACCTGGGATTGGAAATCTTGCTTTTGCAACCCACTGCTTCTAGGAGTATCATTATCTCCTAGATTCACTCCCATTTGAAAGATCTCAAATAAATAACTGAATGATACACCTCAAGTCTTAGAAAAGCAAGAACAAACCAAGCCTGAAAACACTAGACAGTTAGAAATAAGATCAGGGCTGGGCATAAAGGAGGCAGAGGTAGGCAGATTACTGTGAGTTTGAGGCCAGCCTGCTCTAGATAGTTCCAGGCCAGCCATGTTTATACAATGAGACCTTGTCTCAAAAAATTTAAGATCAGAGCAGAAATTAATGAACTAGAAACAAACAGAGAAATAAATATAATGTAAAGAATTATTGAAACAAAAAGTTGTTTCTCTGGAATGATAAGCAAGATTGGCAAACCTTTTTGTCAATTTAACCAAAAGAAAAGACAATGAATACCAAATCAATAAAATTAGATACAAAAAGTGAGATGTTACAACAGATACCAATGAAATCCAGACTATCTTGAGGACACACCTTAAATCTATATTTTACTAACTTGGAAAATCTAACAGAAACCGATGAACTTTCAGATGCATACCAAAATTAAATCAAGATGGAATGAAAAAAGTGTGC